TTAAATAGTTCTGGGTCCTTATGCGGCTTATATTTTCTACAGAAGAGTATACAATTAGTTTTTGACTTATAACATTTAAAGCCGTTTTCAAGACTCCGTTTATATATTTTATTTAAACACAACTGCATTTGCTCTTCAATAGTGTGCATAGATTTACCGGGACAAGAAATGTTAAAATCATCCACAAAAAGTGATCCATCGATTGAACCTATGATAAACATTGTGACAGGCAAAATACTGCCTTGTGGGACACCCTGATCCTGATGTTTTATTAGAGGTTGTCTCAAATTCGAAGTGGGGAGGGTATCAGAAAATTCTCTTCCAACTATACTGATTACTGATCCGTTGTAAACGTACTTTAAAATTATTGATCAACCCATCATCTAGGCCTAAAGGCTTTGTCTTGGGCCCTTCATAACTTCACTATTAATAGTCTTTATGTGGAAAGGTGATGAGCTATTGCTACAACAACGACACATAAACCTACCCTCACAGAAAGTCACACGGAAGTATTTTATTTGAGTGTCACAAGTAAAACAAGTTCATGAATATAAACATAATATATTAATAGTACTAAGATACATTTAACAGCCAGCCACTAATTGGCTTATGAGACACCGTTAAGACATAGTACACATCTACAACATACAAAATGGTAGATAGATGATAAAAAGGGGGAAAATAGAAAAAAAAAGGTAAAAACATAAAATGCATAAAGAGCAATTAGATAAAAGACTGACGTCTTAGAAGATCCTTTTTTTACAGTTGAAGCTATATTTTTTTAGTTTTGCGATATCAACAACAGTAAAAAAAACACTTTAGGGTATGAATAAAACTGCATTAGTGGGAATCTAAATAATTACAATGAAGGTCTGAATAAAACTACATTCTAAACGGAAGTGTATTTCCGACACTATTTTGTTACAGAAGGACATAGCCTAAGATGTAGATGGGTGGGGATCTACCCGTCTCTGTGTGTAGTCGTAGTGATCCGCAACATAGTCTGGAAGGATATTTTCGCTGACATGTTTTTCTGAATGTATGTCTCGGGAACAAAATATTTCTTGAAGAGCCGGCACGTCCTCAGGGTTTTTTCCACTTGGTTTCGGCTTGTTGTTCCATAAATTCTTGAACAATGAGAACTCGTTTATTTCCTTAAGTTTGGTTTTTATACGAAACATGATAATATGTTGATCCATTTAAAAACACTAGAGGTTAAATGTTAAGACTTCTGCATACCTTGGCGACGATAATGTTTTCTTTTTTTTTGCTGTATTTTAAAACCTGTTGTGTAATTTGTGATCACTTATTCTGTTAATCTTGATATAAACTCTAAAAGCTTCTACTTTATACGTAGTGAGGCATGACGTCTATCTCATTTCCCCACGTACTGCACAGTTTGAGGTGTTTCATGGTTCTCCAAGAAAATATCTACACGCTCAATGTTGCACATTATCTCTTGATGGCTAGTAAGTCCCTTGAGAGGTGCACCGTACATCAGTATAGGTTGAACTGTAGACTCGTATAGTCCATGTCCATGCATCATACCCCACGTCGTCACATTGATTTAAGCATAGACAGGGCTCAGCGCGCACTCTTAATGACCCGTGAAGATCCGGATTAGAATGAATCTTCAGTAACCCATGCTTGTCGTAAGAGGCGACTAGCGGGATCGGGTGTTCAGGCTCGCTGGCTTGGTTGACACATGTCATCGGTTCCCAATTGTGTAGATCGATGTTCATGCTGTTGATCACTATACTGTCTGGTCGAGACTCGATTATTTATGGACTGCCGCCATATAGCTAGAATATTGCTGAGTGCAGCGTAAAACTAAACTCACTCACTCACTCACTAAGTGCTAGGTAGGAGAGTACACTGTCTGATGAGATGCTCCTCAAATCACAGACCCAGATATATGTCGGCATCAGTATAGCCCAGTGCCTTGCTATCACATGAAAAGCTTTATTTCTGAAGTGAACTATCCAGCAAGGGTCCATGCAGGTAGCCAAAGTACTGTAAGTCCCCATGGTCCCTAGAGTGGTGATCAACCTTCAGTTGTTGGCGATCCCCAGCCTTATTTTATATTGTATTGTCCTAATTTGAAATCCTATTTTAGAGATATACGCTAGTTTTATTTCCTATTACTGTGATATACTAGTTGGTTTTACTGTCCTTCGTCGACGGGTTTTTAAAATTTGGGCATTTGTCGTGAATTTATTTATAACTATCTTAAGTCACGATATGACTGAAATACTGCCACTGTGACTATAAACTTTAACTCACTCACTCACTCTGAAGTGAACTGTCTTGGTTTCTTCTAGTTGATAGACCCCCACTTGAAGCACCAGTTAGTAACGACATCCAGCATTTGTTGCAGGCTTTCCTCCATCTGGGCGAGTAATACAACGTCGTCCGCAAAGAGCGGGACAGAGATAATCATGTCATCAATTAAAACACCATTTTTATATCTTCTGCCAAGTCATTGATGCACAAGGCAAATACAGAGGGAGATATTAAACATCTGGCTCACTGGTTACACCTACTATGTGTTTTCTACGTTTATTAAGTGGATTTTTGTAAATACAATGTGATTGATATAATATCAAGGCCGTACAAGACTGCCAAACTTTTCTTGCGGCCGAGCCTCATTTTGAGATTTCCACGATTTCCAGATTTCCGTTTGTCAGAGCATGCTATACGACAGAGCAAGCTACGTGTTTGCAAGGAGTGGAAGGAGCGTAGTGTTGCAATATACAAGTGATTAGATATAACAGGTAATACTGATTTATATTTAAATATCCAGTTGAATAAGTTGGTCTCAAAATGTTGGACTGGCTGTTGTACTAAGTTGCACAATAGGACGGAACCCAGTCAGCAGGAAACGAGACCGTTATGTAATCAATATATTGACTTGCTGTTACCAACACATAAAAATGGTTTAAAAGTAACTCATACTGAAAACTGAGTCTTGAAGCCAATAAGATCAACATGACATCACACACAGTTTGCTGTAGTGTCATGTCTGTCTATTGTGACGTCATACGTGCAAGTAGGTCCGAGCACGCTGTCTTCATAACTTCATAACGAGGTATCAGTTTCTGTACAGTGCTTCAAATCGTTATCACGCAAATATTTCTTTATAAAACTATTTTAAAACCTAGGCAGTGAAGGGTCGAACAGGGTAGTGTTATAGAGAACTGCGATTTTACGAGAAAATGCGGGTGCATGACATTTATCGAAATGATTGCATAAATGTTATATTAATTGGTCAGGGGTATGGAGCTGTGTACTGAACAAACTGAGTTTCGACGCACTGTATCGTGTACCCGACTGGGAACTCTGAGAGCCATACTTTAAAAAGAGTAAAAACAAAATGTCACTTTGTCCCTTTGGAAGTTATTAGCAGTGAAGATCGTACTCAGTTCCAATACATGTATTGCTTTACCTGTTTTGCTGCTTATTCACAACCACGGTGTCAAAACCTTCCTGTCCACCACATAATTAATAACAGAGTTTTGAGTAACGGGACCCCCTGCCTGCCGACCCCCCTTCTTCGCCGAAAATGATTCCCCTGAGGAGCATGTTCCCCTAAACTTTGGACTTCATGACGTATGTGCATACCCACCCACCCACGCCCCAACCCCACCCTCTTAACGGTACAAACTTCAAAATGCTACTGCAGTATCTGCAGATTCGATTATGATAATGGGGAACGAAGTAAAGTTAGACAAATCATGACAAGACCCACCGTCCTATATTTAATAATCCTCAGGCGGAACTGTCCTAGAAAATTCTTAACAAATACGCTTCAGTACGTTCACTGAATGTTGTAATCGGTGTCTCCTTCAGAAATGATATACTAGTGTTCGTAGCATTTAACTGTTAGTGACTACTCTCGATTGAGCCTGGAATGGAGAATAATAGAGTTTAATAATTCAACATTTTCAAACGTGGCTCTTTCTTGATGTTGTTTATTCATTTAAAGGATATAACCAGCATCGATTAACTGTTGAAAGCATGAATGCGGTCTCTTCTTGTACCGTACCTGAGGTCACAGGGGCGGTGGGGTAGCACAGTGGTTAAAGCGTTCGCTCGAAGGCTCGAACGCTCGAAGGCCCGGGTTCGATTCCCTACATGGGAACAATATGTGAAGCCCGTTTCTGGTATCCCCCGCCATGACATTGCTGGAATATTGCTAAAAGTGGCGTAAAGCTCCACTCGCTCAGTCAGTCATTCACTCTCATTGTCACAGAATGATCAGATTACGTCATCTGAACAAAATACATTTACTAATGTTTTAAACGTTACCTTTATTTTCTTTTTCAGAATTACAACGGAGAACAGATGGAACAACATTTCCCAAAATATCTATCCCTCCGTGAATTGTCCTGCACCATCCTTCCTGAATCATGCTGTCAAACGGTCTAAGGTTTGCTCGGGGAGCACGATTCTCAGATCCTCGTAGCTCGTTGACCAGTGATTGTGTAAAATGTAAACGTTATGAAAGACTTCAAATATTTTCTTTCCTCGCCCTTTTTGCAGCACATCTAGCTTTCCAGTCGTCTTGCAAGCCTGAAAATATCTCCAAGGCCACAAACACGTGCATTGAACAAGGAATGCACATTTTCAGCATAAATGACTTAAAGCTGAGCGGTGGTTCTAAAATAGAAGCCGAAGCGGGCATGGATCGATATGGAGTAGTTGTAAAATCCTCATTTCAGTTATTTACAGTTCGATTATATGAAGCCTCTTTTCCATCATATTACGTATATCCTCTTGCATGGGTTTATTCATGATATGTAAATCACGGACACGCTGCCTGTGTTTAATGTACACAGCTTACATACACGCCTCTTTACATGTGACAGTATGTACGTTAGCTATTTTTCGACAGAAACCCGCTTTTACATCATTGACATGTATCCAAGTTTGTGTACTGAGGATGCGATATACATGTATGTCACTCGTTGTTGCACAGTTGTATTTCATACTTTTTCAGGTCATCCAGAGGAGTGTAAATTCTAAAGAACGGGACATTAACCGAGGCGAACTGCGGCGAACAACACTATTAACTTTGCAAACGTAACGCCAGTGAGTTATTTGGTTACACTTCATGGTATAGAATTATATGGAATGAAAGATGGTGTGAACTTCTGGATAAACCACAACAAAACTGTGTAAATCATCTGAAGCAAATTAACGACTATGAATTCCTAGTCATATCCATTCTGTTTTGCAGCAATGGAAGAAGAACTATCGAAGAATGGTTCGTAATTTTTTGTAATTTATCATGTTTTGTAACTAACATCATATTACAATTCATCAAGTCATGTGTGAACGTAATGCAGATTACCACCTCTTCGGCTCTAAGTGGTTCCTCTCAGTTGTAGTTGTGTTCCTTCAAGTGTCATCGTGTTTTATGTGATCATTTCAGACTCGTGAAGATCCGGGTTAAAATTGGACCTCAGTAACCTATGCTTGCAAACTATGACTTGGATGACCACATGTCATCGTATCCCAATTGCGTAGATCGATGCTCATGTTGTTGGTCACTCGTTTGTCTAGTCCAGACTCGATTATTTACAGTATAGACATTGTTAAAATAGACAATAGCTGTAGAAGGGATCACAGACGTTGCGAAGAAAGCAAACTAGAAAAATGCAACATTTATACAACTGTCATAACATTTGGATCATGGTTTATATTCATATATATTGTCACGTTTATGTTTAAGTTCGTGTTCATGTTCATGTTCATGTTTATACTTCTGTTAATACAGACACACGTACCTGGGCCATCTATGTCCCGTGTCAAAGAAAAGAAACTTCAGTGTGTAAGTAAGGCTTATTTACCTATCACCATCAACTGGAAAATCTTCCTCTCATACCATAACTGTTTAAATATATACTGATTAATCCAGTATACTTTCTTATATCGTGTATGTTTTCCTTCTGTGGTAGCACCTGTGTCAACTCCAGTGATGTCAGGGACAACGGCGACGACAAACACAATAAGTCGCTCAGATTCTAGATCTAAAGGACTCTCAACTACAGGTTTGATGAAAGGATACTGAAAAAGAAATCCATATCTTTTCCACTCATCCTTCCGGGATATGTAATACATTTCCTGCCTCCTCATAGCATCAATGTTCCAGTTGGCTATAAATCTTGCAACATTGCCCTTGTAATTCACTGTACTGCAACAAACGCTTCTTGTTGCCAGCAGTGGGGCGGTGGGGTAGCGTAGTTGTTAAAGTGTTCGCTCGTCGCGCCGAAGACCATGGTATCGATTACCCATCTGCTGCATATTGTGAACACACGTATCCCACTGTCCCCGCCGTGATAGTGCGGCGTAAAACAAACCTCAGATAGATAAATAGATTAATGGATGGATGGATGATGATAGATAGATAGATAGATAGATAGCTTAAATGGTTGATGGATAGATAGATAGATTAATGGATAGATAGTTAGACAGATCTGATACACTTTCCACTATTATCCCCTTGTATTCATTACATCCTAGTATTTGTTGTAACCGTTGACCTGATCGTCGCAGTGGCTGTCTGTGTCATTGTGGTCTGTGTCGTCGCGGCTGTCGTCTTCAAACAGTGAGTGCAACAGTACTGATTACGCAAACTGACTACGTTTGAAAAAGTCATCATAAAAACAGTCTGTTCAGATATTTGTCCTCGTGGCACTGCAAAGGGAGACGTTATCGTTGGTTCTTTTCGCCTATGTATCTAAATCCAGACTGTTTAAATATTTGACTCGTGTTCTCAATTTTTAGCCTCCGTAACATAACTAGGAGGGTATTAAATAAAAATTTGCAGTTTGTTTTCGTTTAGTTATTTCTCAAGTGATACTACAGCGTGAACAGTGTGCCGAATATTATCATGTGAGTGAGTGAGTGAGTGAGTGATAGGATTGGTGAGTGTGTGAGTGAGTGAGGGGGTGGGTGGGTTGGTGGGTGCGTGGGTGTTTGAGTGAGTGAGTGAGTGAGTGAGTGAGTGAGTAAGTATGGTTTAACGCCGCTTTTCGCAATATCCCAGCAATTTCACAGCGCGGGACACCAGGTTGGGGCTTCACACATTGTACCCGGAATCGAACGCGGCTCTTTTGTGTCACGAATGAACGTTCTTACCATTAGGCTACCCTGAATACCTGTACTTTGGGATCAAAACTAATAATTCTTCTGGTCACATTTTAAATTGTGTACCATTTGGAAT